TATGAGATTGATGATTCCATCTTCAATTTTTTTGAATTCCCAATCCCTTTCACATCACTTTTGTAATTGTTTAGTTGGCATAATCTAGAAACCACAGGGAGTGTCACTTCATCAACAAAGAGAATAGGAATGACCTTTGATTTTTCATTTTATTTTCAAGGCAAATGTGTTTGATATGGCATAAATTATGTAATTCTAAGAAAATGTTTTCCTTTATTAATTGGTTTTCAATATTTAGATCTACATTGAATTGTTATGGTTGGGAATGAACATTCATATATCATTATTATCTATATATTGTTTTGATATAAATATGCAAAGACTACCAAGATAATTATATTCATATAATTATTATCTAGAATTATAAACATAACAATAATAATAATTATTATGTCTCAGTCTCAAGCTAAATAAATTATTAGGATTTATCTAATCTCTTTTCTCATTATTATAATGTACAAAGATTCAAACCTCATTAAAAATTTCTCTCCATAGTGCATTGAAAACTCATAATCATTTCCTTTTAATTCCTTTATATGTTGTTTTAGTCAAACCAATGTGGTCTTAATTAATGTCGTATTAGCACTTAGAAGTTCTATTATGCATTAATGATTTTTGCTACATATCTATCGTTGTTCAATTGAATAATCTGTACAATTAACTAGCAAGTCTTATCATTCTAACTACTTTTTTTACAAAAAAAAATTCACTTCTTCGTTGAGGTTTCTAACAGCACTCTCAGTATTTATCTTTATTTCTTTAATTTATACTTCTCTAGATTTTAATTTTTTTATACCGCAAGAAAGTAATGACTTGATTAAAATTGATATGATTTTGCAGATTGCTTGGATGAAAATTTATCAGTAAATCGCCTCCACAAATGGATTTGAAGCAGGAGCAAATAATTTACTTTTATTTCTTTTGAAGTAAGTAATACTACTTTTTAGGTTTTTCTTTAGTTAGTTATGCATCGTCAACAATTTCAATTCGAAGTTAGGTATTGATCTATTTGATTGAGGCTATATTTATTTTTTCATATTCAATTTGATACGTGAACAAAGACAAAAACAAAAGATTTTGTTATTTGTAAAGTTAGTAGTACAAATTAGTTCGTAGAAACAAATACTCCGTATATTTTTAGGGTTTCATTTTTTTTGGTCATAACGCGATGGTCAATCAATTTATCCTTTTCTCTTCTTGTCTTTCTTGCGCAAGGTCAAAGAGATAATTTCTTTCGTTTAAAATATTCCAAAATAAATTTGATAGCACAAACGATTGGTAGCAATGACATAGGCAAGAATTCAGCAAAAAAGGTTTAAAATATGAAGAAGTAATACTTAAAATCGTGAATATTGTGCTAAGGTAAATGGGGTAGGATGCGGAAAAAATTAATCTTAATCTGCTATGATTCAACTAGCTTTGTCTCTCTTATTTAACATTTCTTTCTACTAAGGCCATGCTCCATCAAACACTTCTTTAAATTTTTTTCTTTTATAATATTCAACTTTAGTTTTTTATTTTTATTTTTATTTTTTGGTTTCGAACCAGTACCCCTTTAATCATATATTATCTTCGAAGATCGTCAATTTTTTTATACGATAAAGAGACTAATATAATTTATGAATTATGAATAAAAGAGAAAGAGAAACAAACAATAAGAATCTAAGTGTAATTTTTATTTTTTTGGGAAAAAGATAGAGAATATACGCTTAAATTAGAGTCGTTAATATGGGCTGACACCTCCCATCCAGACTAATCCATAAGGCTTTGAAAGTTGATGGGCCAGGTCGTGCTGACCCATTTTTTTGGTGGGTCAAGAAATGATCAGCCCAACCTACAAGTACGTGGGCTACGGGCCATCCTTTATTTTAAAAAGTATATTTTTTTTATAATTTTTAAAATTAAATTATAATTTAAAAATATTATCATAAATATCGACAAGACAATAATACTACATGATGTTAGTGTTACTATTTCTTAATCAAATCCACAAATAAAATTACCTTTATAATATTTATTAAGTTTGGTTTTAAGTAAAAGTATAAATAGCTAAATAGAAATATTAACCTAATTATTTTGTAATGATCATAATAAAACACAAAAAATATGACAATATTCCATATGCTATGGCCTACTTCCATAGAAAATTAGGAAAAATTTATTTTATGTAGTACATATTTTATAAACATAATTTATATTTTAATTTTAATTTTTAAAACTTTATATAGATTTTGAGTTTGGACTCTTAATATTTTTAATATTCTATTTTATTTTTTATTTTATTTTTATTTAGCTCACGACCCGATCCGACCCATATTTTTCAAGCCCCACAAATTAGCAGACTTATTCAGGCCGAGCTAAAAAACTATTTTCTTAAATGATCTTCAAAAATCTTAGCTCAACCCTATCAAATCACGGGTTAAACCAAGTCAACTCTACGAATCTATCGCATATTAACGGCTCTACATAAAAGTAATAGTATTTTGTGTAAACATGCTAGTTTAATTATAAAAATATACTGTTATGGAAACAACCATAAAATTATAATATTAACATATACATATTTTGATCATAATGTAAAACTAAGCAATTAGTTATGCTTGGGCCTTACTTTTACCAATGGAGCTTAAAAGGGGAAAACACTAGTGTTACAAAGGTTCGAATATATATAAATTTTGACATTGTATATATAATGTAATTTTTCAATGAAAGAAATTTAAACGAATTCTTTTTCCGATTTCACTCCTAACTAACTCCGTCCTGATTGGTAGTGCCCCTTATGAAACTACAATTGCTATATTTTTTTAATATGATAAATAAGATGTCTAGGACTAGTTTTTTTTTTTTTAAGTTATAAATAAACAAAAACAAAAACTTTTAAAAAATCACAACTTAATTACTATATTTTTTCGACTTAACTTGATCATTTATTTCAAACTCTCAACTGTCAACTGCATAGTACCCCCACAAACTTTTTAATTTTGACGGAATTCATTTCATAGTACCCCCACAAACTTTTAATTTTGACGGAATTCATTGACATACATTTAAAATTGACAGAATTTTTTACTTAGACAACTCAAATAAATCTTATACATTTTAAAAACTCGTAGTAGATTTTTATTGTGTCATTTTGACACCATCTTTATATTTTTAGAATCAAATTGTGTATTGCCAAACGTCTCCTACCTGAAAAAATAAATAAATCCGTATGTGACATGTGAAACTTAGTTAATAAATCAATTAGGAGAATAAGATAAATATCCTAACAAATCTATTAATAAAGGTGCAATTCAATTTTCTAGAAAGAAGAAGGAATCAAATAGTGTAATATAACAAATTTGTAGGTTCTTTTTCAAAACTTGTGTGGTGGTGGAGGATGGTGGAAGGTGGGATAGATGGTAGGGAGAAAGAGTAAGGAAGAAGAAGGAGCCCGCTCAAAATTCGTGTAGGACATATATTATGTTAAATCAGTGAAAAGTGTCAAAAAAACATAACGGGATCCTACTATATGAATTTAAATTGTACAAAAATTATTTGAGATTATCTAAGTAAAAGTCATGTCACTTTGAGTGTCTGTCGATAAATCATAATTTTAGTATATGAAATATGAAATACCAAAAAAGTTACTAACACTCTCTCTCAAAAATATATACTTGTTACATTTGTATTTAAAAATTAATTTGATAAGTGTAAAAAATACTCCTTTATTTGATTAATTGAACTTAAAATACACCTCTGATCTTGCAACATTAGTGAAATATACTTCTAGATTCTCGTTTTTAGGTGTGTTTTCAACAATTCTTTCGATTTTTTTTATTAAGAGTTTCATGCCTCCTACAAGAGTTTGAGACCACTTACTATGTGTGGCATATCGAGGGTGTATCTAAGTTTAGTTAATTAAGTAGAAGGACGCTTTTAAGCCTGTCAATAGTTAAGGGATGAAATAGTTTATGCCAATTTCAAAGATATTTTCAATACCTTTCTCTTAAAATGTTTTAAAATACATGAAAAATATTATAAATTGCAGGGCTTTTCATATAAATATTATTAATAAAATATTTTTGAAATGTTAATTAGAGATTGACTCTCAAAACCCAATATGTGACAAATATTACTCTAACCATTTTAATAAATAAATAAAAAAGGAGTTTTATTACTTCTTTTCATACTATATAATAGTAATCAAGTTTAGATTTTCAAAATATTATTAATAAGACTAATTTAGTACTCCAAAATATATTTTCAATTAATAACTTTCCTAAAGGATATGTCATGTCAATCCAGTCAATTAATATGAAGAGGAGGGAATAATATATATTTGAATTTTTTTTAAAATTATTTATTATTTTGGATGATTAAAAAAAAAGGCATAACACAAACATGACCCTTAACTTGGCTTTAGCGGACAATTATGTCCTCCAATTTTAGGTGGGCACAAGTAGCACTTAAACTTGTATAAAATTGAACAAGTAGACATACGTGCCCTACATGACATAATACACGTAGGACGCCATGTAGACACAAAATTGTCATGTAGGGTGCCATATAGGACGAATGTGTCTATTTGTTCAATTTTATACAAGTTCAAGTGCCTACTTGTACACATCCAAAGTCAAAGGTCATAGTTGTCAGCTGACGTCAAATTAAAGATCATGTTTGTGTATTACGCCTATTATTAATCAGTCTAAATTATTACTCTAAAACATATCTTTAATTAATTAACTTTCCTAAAATTATTACTCTAAAATAGATTTTTAATTAATTAACTTTCCTAAAGAATAAGTCATGTCAAATCTAGTCAACTAGTATGAAGAGGAGGGAAGTATATATATTTTTTGAATTTTTAGGAAATTTATTTATTAGGAGTATTTTGGATGATTAATAAAAAATTGAATTTATATAAGAAGGGAGGGAGTACTATACAGAAACTTGTACACATATAATATGCCAAATATTCTGTACATTTCAGTTTTCTCAAAACAGAAAGTATGAGAAAATGGCTTTTCCTCTGCATTTTCCTTCTTCACGCCTCTGCAGTGACCAAAAATCTCTGTTAATCGCTTCACAAATCGACCGTAAAAATGGCTTCTGAGTGAAACTGGAGACTAGAATCTTTACTTCATCTGTTTTTCTTTGTTTTTTTTTGCTCAGTACAACTCAAAAACTTGCAAGAAGTTTAAGGGATTCCTGTTTTGAAGATTCGGATTTTGTGATTTCAGGTACATTAACTTTTTTTTTTTTTGCTTTTGAAAATGTGATGATCTCCGATATCAAGTTTATATGTTTCCATTTACGTATAAATAGCATGTATATATGTGTACGTTCTTTTGTTACAAGTTTTGTATAGTTATTACTAGTGTGTGTTTCTTCTCGCAACATTCTAGGGTTTTTGTAACCCTTCGTGTGGTTCTGGGTTTTGAGGTATGGTGATGGATGATTTGCTATAGTAACTCACGGAGCCGTTTTTTTTTTTTTTTTTGCAAATATGAAAAGTAAATATAGGGTGAAGTCAAACGGGTTCAACATCTGTATATATGAATAAAAAAATAATTTCAATCATGTATAAGCATGGTAATTTTTTGTGGAAGGGGCTGATACTACCTGGCTCTGCCCCCTCTATAGAGCCTTCTGCTATATCTTATCATTTGATTTCTGCTGATTTAAAGCAAGGGATGTAGTATATTTCCTGTTTTGATGGGGGAAAACTCAAACAAAAGGGGGTTCTCGATCAGTGTGAAAAAATCATCAGATATCATATGATTGAAAACAGAGGTAGTTCCAGATTTTTTTTGTGTTTTTGTGTGTGTATAGTAAATGGTGTATCTGCTACCTTTGAATCCTGGATTAGCATTTGATTGGAAGAAAAACAATTCAAAGAAACGCCATACTATATTCATCGAGATTCCAGGTGGATGTATGTTTTGATTGTTATGATTACTTTGGACCCTATGTGAAAACAGGACGCAACAAATTAGTATTTTGTTCTTTTCAGTCTGCCTTTTGTACTGAGCAATTAGACAGAAATGATTATATTGCTACTCATGGATTGAATCTCCAAAACAAAAATTTGAGGTAATCCAGACTTTATAATGAAATTGCTGCTCAGGTATCAAATTGTAATACTGTTTGATTGTTTCTTGTGCTTACTTTGACAGTCTCTAGCATTTATTTTGTTCCATCGACTATTCTCATTTTCCTGTTCTAGCTTTTGGGGGTGGATCGTTTTGTAGAGATTATAAACGGGTTGAAAAATTGAATCTCTGCTAAATGGGCAAAGTAACTGGATTGACAGGCCAACCTTTACACATAATATATCGTGTAGATCAATGAATATAATGTGTAGATGATAATACATTCGTGTGGGCTATATACTAGTTCTACTGAACCTTTAGGAAAGATATATATTAGTTCTGTTCGAGCAACTGGGGATGGACATATATAAATTTTGGGACATTAACCCACTCTAACAAGGGTAAGTTGTGCTGAAGAAGAAGCTTGGATCACAAAGTGAGGAAGTTTCTTGTTCCACATATATTCCTTTCTCTGCTCTTCCACTTTTCACTCTGAGCGACTGAGAGTTGTTGAATCACTCAATGCAGCAAGGCAAGTAATAGCAATAACATTTTGTTAGAGGGAAGAAAAATCAAGCTAGATTTGAAAATTGAGTCTTCTACTTTATCTGTCTTATTTGCCATTGTCTTATAAACATTTTTGTTTCTGGTGCATTTCAATTTCCCTTGGCAAGTATTCTTGGTTAGCTCTAGTTTAGTTTGGTTATCAACAAAACACAAACTGGTATTTAGCTTTTAATCTTATTACAGGCTGAAGATGTCTCATAGAAGATCAGGGAAAAGTGGGAGCACTGATTCAGAGTTTGAAGAGCTGAAGTATAAATACTACAGAGATTTAAGAGATGAAAAGGTCAAAATTAGACGTTCTGGGAAGTATTTCAAATGTCCATACTGTCAGGATTCAAGTAAAGAGTATGATTCACAAGAGCTTCTACGGCATTCTTCCCGCATTGGTAGAGATTCAAGGAGTGCTAGTTTTAGAGACAAGGCTAGACATTTGGGATTGTTCAAGTACTTGGATAGGTACATAGATGCAGACAAGAACACATCTGAATCAAGTCAGAGGAGATGTTCTGAGCTATCAGGGAAAGGTTCTCAATATGCCAAGAGTAATCCAGTAGAGCCATCTCAGATCACTGAGAAGTCTGAAGGTGGAGGAAATTTTTATCCGTCTGCTGCTAGGACCATTGAGGCAGTGGATAGACCTGTTGACGGTGCTGAAGAGCCCCTGAGAAGGGAAAAACTAAATACGGAGAACAGAGTGGTATCCGAATCTCAGATCACTGAGAAGTCTGAAGGTGGAGGAAATTTTTATCCATCTGCTGCTAGGTCCATTGAAGCAGTGGATAGACCTGTTGATGGTGCTGAAGAGCCCCTGAGAAGGGAAAAACTAAATGCGGAGAACAGAGTGGTATCCGAACCTCCTCCCAGAAGTACTAAAGATGGTCTGCAACCCCAACCTCTCCTAGCATCTAGTAAGCCAGGTATCAGCAAGGCCAAGGATGATCTAATAGTTTTTCCTTGGATGGGGATAGTAGCCAATATTCCTGTTGAATATAAGGGAGGGAGGTATGTAGGTAAAAGTGGAACAAATCTAAAAAAGCTGTGGATTGAGAAAGGGTTTAATCCACTGAAGGTTCATCCTTTGTGGAACTACAAGGGTCATACCGGATATGCCATAGTTGAATTTAAAGGGGATTGGTCGGGATTCATGAATGCTATAGCATTCGAAAAAACATTTGAATTAGATAAACATGGGAAGAGAGATTGGAATTCAGTAAGACGTCCAGATAGTAAATTGTATGGTTGGATTGCACGTGATGAAGACTACAACGCTGGGTCTTTCATTGGTACTCATCTCCGTAAAAATGGAGATCTTAAGTCAGTTTCTGGAATACAAGAAGAGAACAGGAGGAAAGATTCAAGGCTACTATGCACCTTGACCAACGAGTTAGAGATGAAGAACAAGGAATGTGAAGAGATGAAGAAGAAAATAAGCAGAGCAGAAGTTTTTATGGATAATGTGATGAGTCAAAAGGAGGAGATGACCCAAAACTACAATGACGGTGTGTTTTCCTTTTGCCTCTTTGCTGTAAACTAGTTACATAGTATATATCTCTATCTTATTGCTTCACTTTTAACATAATGCTAAAAGATACACCTGGCAAAATTTGTAACTCATATCATGAAGTTGTGCTCATTCTTTTGTTGTTTTCCTCCTCTAATGTCGTATGATCTGTTTACCAGAGATGGAGATGATGCGGGATAAAGCATTCAATCAGCTCCATGATTTCATACGTGAGCATGAGAAAAGCAAAATGCAACTTGAAGCTCAAAAACAACAATTGATGCAACAAGAACTAGAATTGAGAAAACGTGAAGCACTGAATGAGAGTGAGAAAAGAAAGCTTCACCTCCAGAAAGAGATGGTAAGACAAGAGGCATACAGAAAATTACTTTATTTTTTTTGCAGGTGATGCTTCAACAAAAGGGAAAGCAGAGATGATACTCTTTGGGTGTCTAAAATACTGCAGTTGTTCCTTTTAAAGATATTTAACATAATTTTATCTGATTTAAGGAATTTGAATTACTCGAGCATATACAGTGTGGTCATCACCGTCTTTCTGCTAACACTTTGCTTGCCTGATAATATGGTTACAGGAATTAATTTGAATACCAGGTCCCTAGATGTCTTCTGATGCTTAACTTGATAGCTTTTTGAAATTCTTTAACTGCAGAATGAAAGGGCAATTTTGGAGCAGAGAAATGCAGATGAGAAAATGCTGCAATTGGCTGAAGATCATAAGGTGTGCTGTGCACTTTTGGCTTAAGACAGCCTCTTTGAAAACAGAATACTCCATAGCTTTTAGCAATTGACTTTGAGCTTTACCTTGCAGAGAGTAAAGGAACAACTTCATAAAAGAATAATTGAACTGGAAGCGAACCTTGATCAGAAGCAAGCACTACAGTTGCAGATTGAGCGCTTGAGAGGTTCAATGGAAGTGATGCGACTCATGAATGAGGAAGGAGACCTCGAATCTAAGAAGAAACTGCAGACAATTCAAGAAGAAATCAAGGAGAGTGAAGAAGAACTTGATAGCTTGGAAACACTGAATCAAACTCTAATTATAAAGGAAAGACTTACAAATGATGAGGTGCAGGAAGCCCGTAAAGAACTAATCAATGTGAGCATTTACACCTTTTTAATTCATCCTCATAAATATTTGTTTATAATGAAGCAATGTGATTTTACTGTACGAAAATTGGAGGTAAACATATATGCTTTAGAAAGGTTTTGGTTACTTTATTCTTGTCCACCAAAGTAACACTCATTTTTATTCACCAGACGAGCAGCGAATCCTTCTATTTACTAAGGAGTGAGTACACCATACATCTGCCTTTTTAGGAAGTCTAGCAGACGCTTTTCATTCTTCACGCATTTGCTTCAATGATAATTGCCCATTAATTAGTTTGTATTGGGATTCAATCTAGAACTACATCTTCACAATAAATAAAATGCTCAGCAGTGTTAAAAAGAAGAAAAAAGAATAGTTCCAGGACATATTGATATTTGCTAGCAAGATCCAGTGCCTAGATGAATTCTTTTAGCTGCCGTTCCACTGCTTGAAACAGTATGCCCACCTACATTATCCCTTGTCATTTACAAGTTTGTATCTGCTAAAAGTTTAAAACTCTCTCTATAAAATTCTGGAGATATGCATTACAGAGGAACCTTCTGGAGATGGTAAATCTAACTTGGTAGTTTATTTTACTCCTAGAATTGTTTTCCCCCTCCATGTATGCCCTTGCTTTAATCAATGTAATTTTATACATTCATGAATCACGATCATAAACATTTTTTTTTGGTCATTTGAATTATCATACTTGTTTGTTTTTTTGGTCTTTCGAATTTATCATACTTCTTCCTCTGTAATGTTTGTTTCTTGGAGATTCTCATTCATAATCAGCCAAAGCTTGCTAATACTTCATGGAAGTGCAAATGATTCTGATATCTGTGATATGGCTCATGCATTAAATTGGCATCTGAAAATGTTTGCAGTAGTAGCTACAAGCTGTATATTTTTAAATTTACGTTGCCTTTATATCTGGAATAAAGGAAAAGAATTATAGACCTACAAATCTGCCTCGATGATTCTAATGTTTATAAAATTATTTCTGTAACCTGAAAAGATGATTTCAGTCTCAACCTGCCAACCATTACTGTATGAACAGCAATTTTATGTGCAATCTTCATGTTCTTTCCCTTTGCTCTAGTTAGTTAGTGCTTGATTTATTTTCACACAGGGTTTAAGGGAGAGCCGTGCTTTTATCTGTGTCAAGAGAATGGGTGAACTTGATGAGAAGCCATTCCATGCTGCTGCCAAAAATAAATTTAATCCTGGAGAAGCAGCAGAGAAAGCAGTGGAGATATGTTCGTTGTGGGAGGATTACTTGAGGGATCCAAACTGGCATCCTTATAAGGTTATCCAAAAGGGTCATACTGCTGAGGTATGTACACTTTTAACTATTAGTACGTGTATTCTTTTTGGGTTTTTTTTTTTTTTAAATCTTTACTCATTCAATTTTTATTTACTTAGGAAATAATTGATGAAGATGATGAGAAATTGAAGGAACTAAAGGCCGAATATGGTGATCAAGTGTATCAATCTGTGGTAACTGCGTTAAACGAGTTGAATGAGCATAACCCCAGTGGCAGGTACCCAGTACCTCAGTTGTGGAATAACAAGGAAAAAAGAACTGCGTCATTGAATGAAGGAGTTGCACACATAATGAAGCAGTGGAAGGCGCATAAGAAGAAATTAAGATAAAGCATTTGACTGAACTTTGAGGGGAACGAAGTAGGAGAGTTGATTGTCATCAACATGATTAATTCTAGTAGGCAAGCTCAACTATTACTAGGAATTCTGAGTCTGCAAAAACTTCATTAGTTTTACCTTCATTTTGTTCTAAATTCAGACGAGACAGTTTGTTCTTTATCTGCTGCTTTCTTCTGTCATTAGATACATTGCAGCTTCAAGTATTGTGTGAATTTTGAGCACAAACAGGCAACAGCTAGAAATATACATTTGATAGTACAGAGCTGATTTACAGAGGAATACTCTGTAATTTCACAGCACACTGCTGTCATTCTCTTTATCAACAAACCCTGTCCATTTTATCCTCTTCCATTGGTTTTTCAGGAATATTGCCTGATCCATCTTTTTCTCACTGATTTATACTGCGATTCTCTGTTTCTTTTTTTGGCTAGGGATTTGTGTAGATCGAATAAATGATTTTATTGGTTATATTGATCTCAGTTCTCTTCTTCATTGTTTTCAACAGTGACTTCTTCGTTATTGTGTTTGCTATACATACTTTTTTTTTTAGCCGAGAGTCTAGGAAACAATCTCTCTACTTTCACAAGGTAGAGATACAGTTACCTACACACCACTCTCTTCAGATCCTAGTTGTTGTTGACTGCATAAAGAATCTTATTATATGGTGTTAAGAGTTTAATTGGAGATTTGATGACCCCAAGTAAATATGATTATCTTGTGGAACGTGCAAATCTCTACTCAATTATCCAGACATACATAATTTCTTGTGCTTCATGGATGTCTATACCTTAGAGTTGAAAGAACCTCTAAAATTCCCATGAAATTGTGCTTTCTGCTGTCCCTTCATAAAGACTACTTGGGATATGCGTACTATAGTTTAACAACGTAATTAATCTACTCCTTCCAATAGTCCTATATGTAACAATATAGCATAACACGTGTTATCATGTAAATTTCAACATTGAAAAATATAATAAACCGATTTAAAAGGGCTAAAAAAAGATTTTACGTTGGAAAATGTATGTGTTATCATGCAGAATTCACTTAAAAGAGTACAAATTTATCCTGGGATGTCACTTGCATTCCACTACTTTTAATGGCTAAGCTTCCACCAATGAATTTCCTTTTCAACAGATGAGCTAAATGCCAGAAATTGTCCATTTAAGACATACTAGTAGCTACCAGAAATGGATTTATCGCAATCAAATTGGAACTTGCAAGATACATATTTTCAATTAAGCTACTACAAATTACTGACATGACATACAGTTAATAACAACAAGCCTAGTGAAATCACATTTACCTCATGAGAAAAAAGAGGTTGATTCTGTTATGAAAGACATTCAACTCAAACACATCAAATCAAAGTAAGTATACTAAAACAGTAACAATAACAAAATAGTACAATAACCAAAACATGGTAAAATATATAGTCATAATAGAAGCTGCGGGCTACATGTTTTTGCAGCCGCTTCAGCTCTTCTGTCATCTACACTTCATCCCTTCCCAAATCCCTATTACAATTGCTCCACAAAACTCATCAATCCTTCCCCTTCACCCCCAACAAAAAAAGGTCCAAAAATAAAAAAAGAACCCCATTACCAAAAGACTTTACTTTTCCATAATCCCAATTCCAGAAAAAGCATTTTCTTTTTCTAATTACTTTCACAATCCCCCAAAATACCCATTAACCACCATAGTCAAACAGACATATAAAAAGAAATTAGTACTACTTTTTTTCACTTTCACTAATTAAACTCTGAAATTCTTCCCAATAAAAGTTTGACCAAATTGCCAATGTGCAGGTGCTATATTCCATGAAGTGGAGCTCCTTCTATCACCAGCTCTAACCCTAAATGAAAGTGACTGACCAAACAAAACTGAATTTGTTTGCCAATTTTGCCCCCAGTTCCTGCTCATACTTATCCAATTAGTTTTTGAACCTTTAATACTAAGACTCACGATATCCCCTGCACCTGCGACGTTGGTTACCAAAACCAAGTTGAAGTAACGGAAACCGTTAATTGTAAACCTTATTCCACCTTGCTTCCTGCATGGCACCCTGCGTAAATAAATAGAAAAACTCAGGTCAATTTAGTCATCCAAATGTTACTGTAAAAATAATGGACTGGAGATAATACTAGGAGACTGTGCTTCACTATCTAGGGGTTGCTGTTTGACATTCTTATTGAGCTTTTCACTATACTAGTTATCGAGAGGATTCACGCATAAAATACGGGCAAGCCGAACGTAATAATATAAAGGTATTACTATTATTTATCGATCCATTAAAATAATTATATTCACTAATTTTATAGCCCAATGGTGACAGCTGTGTACTTGGTACAATAACAGTAATAAATAGGGTAAAAGAAGAAAAGCATGCGAGTTGTACATTTTGACAGGTTATTATTTTTTCTACCCCAATGAATGACAAAAGCAATAAAGAAAAGAACAACTAGAAAACAAACCGAAATGGGCACACAAAAAACAGACAGAGAAAGATAAGGAATCTTACCGGCGGTAAACGACGGGGACAATTCCGGCGCGGTACTCGGCGATGTGGAGGAACATAGGCATGGCGAGGTCGAAATGAGGGCGAGGAGGGTTACACCAACCCCCGTTGTCGTTTGGGAGAGCAAAGTTGGGAGGGCAGAAGTTAGTAGCTGTAATGAAGATGGAAGGACTTCCGGGATGGCACCATTGTGGGTAGTTGTCACATTTGATCTCAAAACACGCTCCACAACTCAGTCCATTGTTGAATAGCGCTGTGCTAAGTGCTCCATTGTTCACTCCGTATCCCTGACTGTATAGGTTACCATACCCACATGCTCCACCTGTAAATCCATCACAAATCTCAAAATTAGTCTAAATTTTAGTAACATTACACTTCTAGATCTACAAATTGACTTGCATTTCTCTGAAAATAAAACCAAAATGCTAGAGAAGAAGAACAAAATAGAGTAGAAATGGGGCATTTCATGTACATACACAAAAAAACGCTGCAAATGAGGAAATACCCATAGATTTACAAATTGACTAACATTTCTTTGAACATTGAACGAAAAATCTAGAGAAAACAGCCAAAAACAGAGTAGAAATGAAGCATTTCAAGTACATTATGTGCAGAAAAAAGGGTAGTTGGTGAGTTGAAAGTAGAAGATTATAGAGGAAACGGTGACATACCCATAGTACCAGAAGCGTCGCTTCCGCCATAGAAAGTAGCATGAGCACTCTGCCATGCTCCGGCAGTAAAAACACCAGGGATTCTAGCTTCAGCTGTTAGTAAAATTAGTGAAAAAAGTGAAGCAACACAGCAGGCCACATTCAAAAACCCCATTTCTACTAAAACAAAAAGAAGATAAAAACAGAAGGAAAAAGAAAAACTGGAAAAATGTATGAAGATGAGGAGGAAGTAGTGGAGGGAAAGAGGACTACTTATGGAGGGAGCAAGGAAAGTGAATCAGTGGCAGTTGATGTAATTATAGTAGCATTACATATCCCTTTTTGGAAATGGCAATGTTTAGCAGTAAACGATAATTTAACTTTTCTTCTGTTTGTTTGTGTGTCACCCTCCAATAGCGAGTTACTTTTTGGTATTTTTCATTTTAATTGATTTATTATACATTTGTAAAAAAAAATACTTTAAATAGTAAAAGCTAAAATTACTTTTACTTTTTACGTGAAACTCTGTCGCATTTACTTCCTTTCAATTTTTACAGTATGGTCCATTAAAACACTTTTTTGTCTAATCAGAGTCTTTTCACATGAAATAAATTGATTAAGAAAAAAGTGGTATCTATTTTAGAGTAATTTTTTTGAAACGGATAAAATATTTATTATTTATTTTAGTTATATTCAAATTTAATCATTCATAATTACTTTTACTGGCATGTTGTAAAAGCAAAGGGGAACCAGGTGGATGAGCCCATAATTAACGGGCCTAATGCGAAGACCATTGTGGGCTTTGAGAGGGCCCATTAGAGAAAGGCATTTCTCGAGCCGCACGCGCGACGGACAACTAGCACTCTACCAGGGCACTTTGGTAAAAGGTGAAAACAAAGGAACAGGGCTCTAAGGTTTAGCCTTCTATTGGGGACCAAATTATTATTTTTGACTTTTCCCTCCACAAGATATACAATGTTCTCTATCTACTCTTTTTCAATTTTAATACTCTCCTCGTTTTAATTTGTTCGTTACTAACAAGGATTGTGGTAAGAATGATAATTATTCCTTCATTCTTAACCTAGAGGTTTCGGATTCAAGCCTCTTTGGGAACAAAATCGCATATGTTAGGGAGCACTTTTTCGACGCGAATTCAAATTTAGTCGGACTCCAATGTAGATATCAAACACTAGGTGGGAAACTAATAAACAAAAATAATTGTTTACCTGGTTAATCTTGCATACATTCTATTCTTTTCGGATCATATTTTGTGGGACCATACTGAGTATGTTATTATTGTTTTGACTTTGTATGAAGTTTATAAAATTAAAGCATATTTTTTTGAATGTGATCTTACATTAAAAATATGTTGGTTTTAGACACATCATATTAAAAAATTAAAATTAAAACAATCATAAAGAAAAGTATAAGTATTTTAAAACAGAGTAAAAAGAAGAACTAGGTAGTAATATTTTTAGGAAGGAGAAAGGTTAGGATTGAAGAAGTTTCATGGACAATTTACATGGAAATCTAATGATTGTGTCTCTCCAAACTATAGGCTATACTCCTTCATGCTTTCAAGTTATTATTAGACGCATTCATGATCTAATTTTGATGAATTTATTTTTTAGAAGTTGTAATACAAAAATATATTGTATTAAAAAAAAGTGCAATTTCAAAACCCCAGTTAGTTTAATATTAGCACTACATGCAATGTAAAACCATAATTATGACTCATTAATCAAATGAGCTTTTAGTATTTTTTGAAAAGAAAGTTCATAGTGGGACAACTTATTTTTTAAGAGGCAACAATTCGAATTGCAAATGCATGAGCTCAAATCTAATTATACCAATGATTAGGTCTTTTTAAATATTCCCTCTAGCAAAATTGATAAAAATAAAATATTCAACAGGGAGGAGACAATCACGGGAATTTCCTTTCTCCTTATATATGTAAGGTAGAGCATGCAATATTCATTTTTTGTCTTATAAAAAATGGAACTAAAAATATGAAAAATTGGGTGTAGAGAGTTAGGGGCAGAAGGAAAGAACATCCGAGATAAAAGCACTCTGATGAATCGACATTGATATAGAAAGATGAAAACTTGAAGAGCGAATAAAATTAGATACCTCAAAAATCCTAAGCGTAAACAAAAAAATACTTGTAATGAAGACTTTTTTAAAGTACCACAAGAGTCTATCATGAATTCATCCAATTAATTAATACATACAAATGGAAAAGTTAGAGAAACTTTAAAAGAGTGAAATATGTAATTTGAGATTAAGTTAGTTGAACTACTCAATACATAAATCCTAATATAGCTTGTACTCATTCCACTATACACACAATTTCTTTTACTTTTAAAATAATGAAAAATTACATAAATATACGACTTAAAATATCATAATCTCTAAAGCTTTCTATCATTTAAAAAAATTACAAAAATATCCTCTTTGATACATCCACATTCCCTCTCGATCAGATACATCCCTCTCTTCTCAGATATATCTATATCCCCTCTCGTATACATCCCTCCCATTAAGTAATGCATCGGACAACCGAGAAATATATATGAGAGCAATGAAAAATTCGAGATTTTTATAATTAGGAAAACTTCCCGAATATGATGTAATTTCTATTCTTTATACTAGAAATAATTTGTTCCTTGAAGTTCAATCTCAAATGCACTTTAATTTAGTCATCTTCAAGTAAAGAATTTAGAGAAGGAAAAGGAAATTTGAGCAGCCGACAGTAGGGACAAACTTTGATTTCTCCATGCCTTTGAAAAATAGAGATGCTTTATTCTGGTCATTTTTAATCTTTTTTTTTCTTACAAGATTATTGCTTTTGATTTTTGAAGTACAAATATTTAAATTTTGGGGGATTCAATTCCTAAAAAAAAAGTGTTAATTGAGGTAATTAAGATGTAACTTCATGTTTGGAACGACGTATCTTTCGGTAGATAATTAATTAATTAATCTAAAAACTAGTTCACCTCAAATAATTTGTTTTTTGTTGTGTTGTTCAACTTTAGTATTTGGAATTTTGTTAACGTCTTTTAATTAAACTTATTGTCAACGGCCACATATTGTGTTAGGTGTTGGGTATTGTTACTTTCATTTGTACTGCTTCTACTAAAATGGCATCTTCTACAGTGTTACTGATTGATACTCTACTAAAAAAAAAGATAATTAAAGCATCATGTTATGTTGAATTAAAATGAAATGCATTTTTATTTTTAGAGATAAAAGTTTTTAATTTATATATGTGTATTTATTAAATTCCTTTTGTCATGGGGTAGATATATTTGACTCGTAGAATGAACATGCTATCAAAGTAAAACATTACTATACCTAACATTCAACTTTTTACCCAACTCCTCTCTATCTAATTCCTAGTGTGTCTACATACATATATAGATCTTGGAATAACAATTACTCTGATAAGACAATAATTATACTTCCTTCGTTTCAATTTGTTCAAAAAGATTAACAAAGTATTTTTTTTTAAATTTTGTGGTTTTTAACTAAAAAAGTGTTGAATGTATTAAAATGTCATTTAATCTTATGGTCTTAAACATGTTTTGTGGAAAGTTAGAATTAAGGAATTGCCAAGAAAAAAAGATGCATTCCTTTTAAACTGACTAAATTAAAAGGTTAACTAAGACAACCAAATTAAAACAGATACAATATATATTTCTACTAGTGTACATGCATCAATCATAATGCATGCAAGGGCGAATTCAGGAAGGGAAAAGGGATGTCACGTGACACTGCTTCATCGATTTTTTTTTTCTAAATAGGTAAATATGGTTATGAAACAAAAGCAAACATAGGCGGTTATATAATAAAAGTGACACCGTTTGAACAATAGATGCGTGTAGCTTAATTGGTTTTGTGCTGAAATTCCGTAGGCTAGGTTGCGTGTCCTACATCGCCTCATTTTTAATGTTTTTTTTCCTTTACCTTCTTTGTTTAGTAATTATTTGGTATTTTGTTTGTATAAACAAAAAATTAGTATAATATTATCAAGGAGATTAATTTGAATACATTTCATAAAAAAAAACTCATCGAAAAAAATTATAATGTGTTTTTTATTTTATTTTTTTAGAAAAAAATATAATAATATACATGAATTGTGTTTTATTTGTGTTTTTTTTTTAATAAAAAATATGATTTATATTAGTTTATTTATTTTCTCATTTTATAAGATGACACCGCTTATGAAAAATCTTGAGTACGCCACTGAATGCATGGACAAATTGTAGTAATTATTAAACAGCATATTTCTTGTCATTTGAGTACAATGTTTTTGGATTCAACTGCATGATAAATTAAACCACAATTGCCAGTATTAGGTGTAGCCTACCAATAAAAAGCTATTTTGGAATTTGGAAATGTATATCCAAGTTTCATAAATGCTATACCAGTCCTTCCCACTGATATGCGCTTGCCAGTTACTAAAAGTGTTGACTGAGAGTTGTAACTAAAATGCCCCACAACTCAACGGAGCTCGTAGCATTTAACAAAAAAATTCAATTTTTGCACGTTAGTTACCATTATTATTAAGTTGTGAACTAATTCTTGTTATAGAAATTTGTTTGTACTTACATTATAAATGATATAAATGTGTAAATATTTTAAGCATATGATGGAATGGTGACGTTTTGATGACACTATAATGCAAAATTATGAGTCGAAAAAAGTAAAAGAGTTGTTTTTTTTAAAGTGTTCTTCCTAATCACAGTTTGGAGTTGTTTTTTGGGACCAATTCAATACGTGGAGAATTCCCTTTCACAGTTTTGGTACTTAACAGCCCCCTCCAACTTAAAGAAACAAAAATAGAAAATATTCATATGCACCAGATATTTATATCAAATCAAGCAATATAATTTGAGGAGTAAGTTTATTTTCTTGAAAAACTATCAAAGCCCCAAAGTAAAAATCTGGATCCATACTTTATAGAGTGTTAATATGGGAATGCCTAATTGTAGAAAGGTTCCAACATTGGGGTTGTTTGGTCATGAAAATGTTTCATTGGGACCATGTAAGTTTTCGTAAATAGGCAGAAATGGCTAACCCATGTACTAACTCCACCACGTTTACCGTTTGTTTATTTTCTCTTTTGTCTTTTAGGACCATTTCATTGAATGCATTTTCGTCCTGAGAGTTGAGGCATGCCAACATCATCAACCTAAGGCTACTCATAACCAATCCAGGACCAAACTACCACAACTACCATCTTAAGTAACCTGCAAGTCATGAAGAGTACTTTTTTGGCCCCTCCAGTAATACTCTACTACCAAGGAGGTCTTCAGGAATATTATAATCAATAAATTCATCATAAATACATGCAATTATTAGACTGACATAATGGTAATTTACTCTCTTGAGATAGGAACTGTTCTTTCATGGATAATCAAATCAAGTTATTTGTCTCTGGTTGTTTTCTCAAGTAAGGCGTAAGACTGTACCAACAAATTAATAGATGTTACTGTACAATTTGAGAAACAAACTACCTCTTAATTAACAATTTACAATAATTTTTTAACTGCATGGGTAGCTAGAGTGATAAGGGTTTTTGTTACTCCTATCTTGTTAAGATTGCAGACTGATGAACTGAGGCCTAGACCTCGTTTGTTTAGTCATTAGTCTCTGTATTGTGAGTCCTAGACCACAATTTTTATAGCAGTGCCTTAACTGTCTATTATCACCATGTCAAAGGAAGACTAGCCAAAAGTATAAGATACTACTGAAAGATCTGATCAGCAAATGAAGCCTCATCTGTGAAATATCCTCAAGCATCTTCTGGCAAACATGTCAATTAAAATAGAACAATGATCTCTCATTTGGTGAGACAGTTGAGTTCATCTACCTTCAGTTTGCTAAGAGTTGAGTTCATCTACCTTTTCCAGAAGTTTCAGAACTAGGATCAATCTTCCACAAATGGTGTATACTGAATTTTCAAACAAACAAAAAAATTACCATTAGGTCCACTCTAAGCTCAGCTTGACTCACGATCATGTAATTAAGGATCCAACTTGTAAATTCCATGGGTTTATAGAACAAGCTGCAAAATCCTGCATCAGAAATCAACACAAAAGTTAAGAAGATGACAAGGCTGAGTAGTTTAGGTTATTAAATCCTTTGAGACTTGAAATACACAAAATTCTGTTTAATTAGGACGGTCACTATAACGACATCTACCTACAAGCTTAATCAATCTCATCCGATAAAGAACAGAACCAACATATCTGCTCAATGAAGTGGATTGTATCAAATCGATCTACCTACTGCTCTACTCTAATGGATATTGATATCAGTTATAAGTAAGACGATAATAAGTTGTAAGAACAACATAAAAACCAGTCAAAAATTCATTATTGGTTAATGCAGTCTGAAAGTTAGAGATTTTTCCATGGTGCGATCTGAAAGTAAAAGTTGGTGACAGCCATAAAGATCAAGATGAAACCTGTCTGAACAGATGTCTACTCTGCAAAAGTGATAGCAACAGAACTTTTGGAAAACTAAGGGCTACCATCTAATGAAATTTAGCTCAAACTACATCGTAAACTATCAGTATTGTGGAAACACATAAAGATTGAATCACTAAATAGTCAAACTTTCAAGCTGAATTTTAGTGGGAAGAGTTACCATACCTTTGACGGAACCTAATATCGGTACACGGGTTGATGATAATGGAACGCGGGCAGAGAGTTTGGAGATGAATGGTACTCAGGAGGCATGCCTCTGGTAGAACTGTACCCACTTAATAGGCTACCAAGACGGTATTCAGGTCGTAAGCCTGGTGGAGGATTATACGTGGGATGTGGCGAATACAGATGATCTTGGGAGTATACGGGTTGATGATAATGGAACGCGGGCAGAGAGTTTGGAGACGAATGGTACTCAGGAGGTATGCCTCTGGTAGAACTGTACTCACTTAATAGGCTACCAAGACGGTATTCAGGTCGTAAGCCTGGTGGAGGATTATACATGGGATGTGGCGAGTACACAGGATCTTGGGAGTATACGGGTTGATGATAATGGAACGCGGGCAGAGAGTTTGGAGATGAATGGTACTCAGGAGGCATGCCTCTGGTAGAACTATACTCAGTTAATAGGCTCCTGAGACGGTATTCAGGTCGTAAGCCTGGAGGAGGATTATAAGTGGGATGTGGCGAGTACACAGGATCTTGGGAGTATACGGGTTGATGATAATGGAACGCGGGCAGAGAGTTTGGAGATGAATGGTACTCAGGAGGCATGCCACTGGTAGAACTATACTCAGTTAATAGGCTACCGAGACTGTATTCAGGTCGTAAGCCTGGTGGAGGATTATACGTGGGATGTGGCGGGTACACAGGATCTTGGGAGGACAAATTCTTTGAGTATAAAGCATAGGGATGATGGTTTACAACATCCTGGAGTCCTGCTTCCACATTTACTAGCTGATATTCGCGATGCTCTACTAATCCATCCTGTCTGGGATAATCATAATGCTCTGCTAAAGCCTCTCCTCTGTAAATATCAGGATTTAGCAGTTTGTCCCGCCTATAAGAATCATGAGGATCCACCAGTCGTCCCTCTCTGGAAGTATCACGATTATGTGTCATTGTGTCACATCCATAAACACCGTTTTCCAAAGTTCTGTTATGTGATTGACCAGCAGGAAGTGGTAGTGAATTTTGAGGCCAAGCTAATGGCAGCAATGGAGTTGTAACTACATCCCTTTCCAGAAGATGTGGATGTGAGTGGTACCTAGGCACTTCCATCCATTTAATTTGTCGAACATGTTCAGGCTGTCTACTTTTATCCATGCGCCGCCCCTTAGTTAAACTCGTCTTGTCCATAGTACTGGTCTCTGATTTGAGTTGTATACCCGACGCTTTGCTAGCAGAAATGAAAAGCTTACACAAATTGTTCACCTATTGATTTGCAACAAATACACACAAAATGTTGTCATGATCCACCAGGAAACTTAAATATCATCACCATCCAAACAAATCTAAGGATTTCCAATAAATGCAAATACAATGTCCAGATACCTGTTCAGAGGTCAATTTGCAATCAAACTTCGTCTTCGTGTAATAGCTTGTTTTAATCACTTCCCTAAATTTCTCCTCTGCTAATGGTAAGCAATCATCAACAATGGAAAAACGAACCTGAAATCATCAAACATATAGTTAAGACAAAGAGGGCATTCAAACAATCATATCCATGAACTGCACTAAACATAAGCACCAATACAATTCTAGAACCTAAAACCACCACCTGCCCTTATTCGACAAAGTATTCCACTCCAAAGAAACCGAATGAAGGATAACTCCGTAAATCCCATCCATCGTACTCCTAGTCTCCCCACCTTTCACCCCAATATCAAAATACACACACAAAATATAATAAAAAAGAAGCCCCTAAGAGTCACTCATATGCTAAAAACTTATGTACATGCTTCATCCTAAAAGTTTGAAGTCTACTCCTTTTTTGTCTTCTTGTTCATACTGTTTGCATACAACAGGTGGCCCTTTTTGATACCTTCGCTATAGATTTACAATTTTTACCTATCAAGAAAATAAAAGCATCCATCTCTAATTTGAAGTCATAGTGCTAAACTGGAAGCAAATTATACTTGCTTTGACTATTAATTGCACCGATTCTAGTGACATAAATAGCTATTATGACTTGAACAACAAACTCAGAAAGATATTTAGGATACAAGAATCAAAATTGCTCCTCATCAATTAACCTGTCTCTTCTGAGCCATAATACAGTTAAATTAAATTGCATGTTGTTTTGGTCTCCTCATATGTTCTATGATATAAAATGCAGGCACCACAACCAAATTTAATCTTCCCCCCTTCTTCAAATAAAATGGAAGAAGTTCAGCATTTCTGACCAATCAAATTCAGCTTATCATCTTTCCTCCGTTGGCTTTGTGCCTAACTGCCTATGTCATAACTTCTTTTTTTCTGTATAGAAAAAGAATCTAAGGTCCATACAAATAGCTACTAACCACTAACAAACCATCGCAGATATGAGCATCAAACATTGAAAACCATTCAAGACATTCCCTCGTTAAGTGTTTACAAAGCATACATAGAAGCTGAAATTTACCTCCTCTCACTGTTTTCGCCAAGGAAATTAACAGATATTATAAGTCACAGCCTACTGAAAGAAAATACAGTACCTCAACAAAAATTGACTGTAATTTTATCTTCATGACTGATTTTGTAAAGTAACAATGTCAACAAATGTGTAGAATTAATTTACTGTGCGAAATCCCTTCTCAAGAACTCTCAACTTCCTTCAATTACTCCTCTTCCCATCAGTCAGTAAAACAATCATTAGTCCAAGGAGGAGAACACCAGAGATAATAGATAAGGAAGGGGGGATTTTGCACAGAATTGGAACAGGTGGAAAAACACAGTAGCTAAATGTTACCCTTGTCGATAATGTATTTGAGGTCTTATAAATCATCCTCTACAGATCCCAGAGATGTTGTTAGCTCATTTCAATTATTGGTCAAAACCAACTTTGCTTTTGCATTTTATGACTAGCAACGTTCTTCAAAGCAAACAAATCATAAAGCAGTAAAAAGGTGAAGTTCAAAGGGACTCAAAGCACAACTAACATACCTGGGATGGGAATTGAGACTTAAATGCCTTGGGTTCAATGCTAAAACCGCCATTTTCTGCAGCTTTGTAGATCCCATACATCAATTTCAAATCAACGTCATATAGAAAGAGTTTCATCCCTTCATAAACTTTTTCAACCATCTCTCTCTTGTTTGCTGGGAGTCCCACAACCTTGTACCCATAGCAGTCCTTCTTTGTCTCAGAATTGCACATGAATATCATACCCATGCTATCAACCTGCTCAGGAATGTCTCTGCCTTCACTAGACAATTTCTCAGGGATCATCTTAGCTTCATCTCCAGGGGTAACCTTCTTAGAGCTTTCATCATCACATGTGGAGACCAAATTTCCCATTTCTGTTTCCTTAGAATCCTGATTATTGTCACCTTTGGACGCCAAGTTTCCACAGTACTCATTAACCTTGCCTTCAGAGGCTACTTTCTTCAGAACCTGCTTAATTTCACCCTTCCCTTCAGGGTTTTCATTTACCTTTCTCTTCCGTGTATTCCCTTTCATAGATTTTTTGGTCGTTTGATTTGTAATTGCTTCCAATTTTTCTATATTCTTGTCTTCGTCATTTCCTTCATATTCATCTTTACCCAGTGAGTCTCTTTTGTTATCTTTGTCTATACCAGCAGTATCTTCATTGTTACCCATAACATCTTCTTCCATTATATCTCATTCGTTATCTCTATCTACATAGTTAGCCAACATATAGTTTCAGAGACAATTTTAGTTGCTTCTAGTTTATTTGTCATCTCATTCATTATCAGAAAAGCAGTGTCATATATCGTCATCCGAAACTAATTTATCAGAGATCAAACAACTGTGAATTATCAAAATGATAGCTATATCTTTCCATTACTAATACATACACACACACAAACATCCAGTAAAAAATAGTGTCACGAACTAAAAGAGAAGATACGCAAAATATCCATAATTAGAACTTCATCAAGCAAAAAACGAAATGTAGGAGCAGAAATTATTAGCTTAGCAAAGGCGATTCATCAATGCAACTGTAGAAACCCTAACCTCAATTTCAAACTTGAATATATCATCTATGAAGCTATTAAGCAAAATTTGTCGAGTTCAAAGAGAAATGAAACCGTAACTTACTTGTTGATGAAGCTGATTGAAGCGAGCACCAGTATCAAATACTACTACTCCAAAGATGAGCTCCTCAAGCAGATTTGAGTGTTAATTGAGTTTGTGTATTGGAAGAGTGAGGAACATGAAATGGCGCTTACTGTGAGTGATGATCAAATTTTAACCGTAATGAAGTGACGATTTCCATGGCTTTGTGGGACCACCTTCTCCATCTACGTACAATTTCTCTGGAAAACGTGGCGCCATATCATTGGCTCATTGCTATTTTCTGCCCCAACTATTTGTGTTGATTTAAAAAATTTATGACTTGCTCAAGAAAAGCCACTACAAATTTAACAAGCTTTTATAGTCACAAATCTCATAACATAAATTACGTACAAAATTTCATACAAAAGATTCAAAGAAATACTTAAATGTCACACCTAAAATTTTTATTTATAGCCTAAAGCAATTTTTGGACCTTTTTACAATTATACTAAAATCTTTTCCTTATATATAGAAGCAAGATTTAATATTTTATAGTAAAACAAAATATATAATAGTATAAGAAAGGAGTTCAATTAACCCTCTTGCCTCATAAGTTCCACCAAACAGATACCATGTCTCATATGTTTAAAAGTTTTTCGTTTTCTCTTATTATTTTCTTAAATTTTGTAATTTATCAAAGTACACTAGATAAATTATTAATGGAAGGAGTTGTTGATGGTTGAGTGATTTCTTCACTTAAAATTAGAAAAATACTTCTAAATCATTAGTCTACATGAATGAGGTGTGTGTCTTATCAATAAAAAAATAATGTTGAATTTTACGTAATGAGTTTTTAGTGTCCTCACTCCACAGCCTTCCTGTCCAGAAAAGGATATTGACCCACTTGCTACTAATGACAAAAATATCAGCGACTAATAACCAGATATTTACTTTAGCAAATCAAAATACGACCACAGGAGGGCATTTTCGTCATTCTACTCCCCTTTATAAACACCACAAACTCGTGGCCATAACGAACCAGACCCAAAATTACCCGTCGATTTTACAATATCCTGACCACTCCTTTTTTTAAAATTTCTCAGCTGTCATCACGTAACCACCATTTCCTTCCGGTTCATGGCCGGCGCGTGGTCTCCCATCGCTCGCCGCGTGCTCGGTTCCACTGTAATCGAGCTGAGCAGAAGCAACTCTCGCGCCGGAGCTTCCTTTCCGGTACGGATATCCGCCAGGAGCCATGGCGTATCCACTTGTGAAGAGCGAGAGGCACCTCTAGCACCTTCCTGTATTTTCGTCGGACCTATTGAAACAGCTAGCAAAGAAACCTTAGAAGCCCTCTACCGCCAGGTAATGCTCATCTCACTGTTAGGAAGATTTTTGGCTTGTAAGAAGCTTTGTAATATGCACTATTAACGAAATTAAGGTTGGTTTGATTATTCAATGGAATCAGTAACATTGACTTCTATTCACGGCCTAAATTACCTTGTAGAACTCTCGATATTGATTATCCTATGAGTTATGAGTATGGTGTGTTTGAGCTTTTTGCTTGATCAAAGAAATGATCACTCAAATGTGCCTTCAAACGTTCACATACTAAATTCTCCGTTGTCCCTATTTGGCACAATTGAAATTTCAAGAGTCAACCAAGTTTTTTTCGACCAGAATGTGTTAATTATTGTTATTTATAGTACTTTTCAAGTAGTTTTCAAAATTCAAATATATGAGTTCTAATCAAATAACTTAAAGCTTCTATGTACGAAATCATGGTTAAAGTATAGAGGTTTGAATCTTGAAATTTCAATTGTACCACATAAATTGGGACAGAGGAGTATGTAAAGTATCCCTATCATGTGTTGAATCACTTGAGTTTAATCACTACCTAATTAGAAGCACGTTTGAGTGATTAAAAGCTTACTGATGCTTTTCGAGTACTTAATTATGTTTGTACTTTGTATTTGTTGTTTGAATTTTTTGATAATTTGATGAGCTAAAGAAGATGCGAGTGGTATATATGAGGTCTGTCTGTGTGATTTTTAGTTCATGATGGGTCAGTTTTAGTCCTTGGCCAAAAACCCGGACTTATAAACTGCATGCATTTCAACAAGGATTAATGAGTAGGTAGTGTTTGTGAAAATCTCCTGTAAATTCTTGAGCTATAAAGATTAGTGGTAACACAGAGAAACTTGATTTCTTTTTCCCATTTTTTTTCCTTTTTCCCACTGCCCTTCTGCTCTCTGATTTTGTACTTCTGCTTTCTCTTAGGCACGTGATGCTTATTACAGTGGAATGCCTTTAATAGTTGATGATATGTTTGACAAAGTAGAGGTAAGTTTCTCAATATAGTTGATAGCTTGAACTTTTCTTTTATGTTCTGATCCTCATGCACAGTATTTTTTTTTGTACTACAGTTAAGATTGCGGTGGTATGGTTCAAAGCATGTAGTCAAGTATCCCCGTTGTAGTCTCAGGCGGCACTCAACTTATGCTGACGCAGAGGTGATACTACTGTGTTATGAATTGGTTATTGTAATACTACTGTGTTATACATAGGTTATATGAATTTGTTATTGTGGTATCCATTTGAATTTTTTCTTTAACTTTGTTGGTTAGAACTATTTCTGTTTGGAATATTTCTTCCATTCCCTTTAGAATACTGTAAATATGAGTTCTTCAAACTCCAAGTGGAAGTATCTTAAATTTACGTTAAAATTGCACCTTGTTATAAACTCTCTACCTTAATTTTCTTTTCTAATTTTTTGTTCTTTTTTTTAAAAATCAGTAACTTGTTTGATATATTTAAGTCTATAGTTTATCATATACCAAACTTGATCCATCGACTTTGCTTGTGCTTTGTATGTCTTCACTAAATCCTATTTGATTGATATTTCCCTTGGACTTAATATTTGTCCTCCGTAGATGAAGTCTCTGCACCTTCCATGGAAAAAGGAGAAAGAAAACATTATGGATGTATACGTACATTACTTACCCCACAGTGCTATTTGCAAATCTAGTTCAGCTGTGTCATTCCCTAGAAGAAGAATTTTTCATCCTGGAGTAGTTTTTCTACTTGTAGACCAAGCTTTCGTCCTACACTTGAATATTGATTAATGTGGATGTAGGGCAGGAAGATCCTTCACAGGTGTTTGCATTAGCAAGTGTATGGTTGTTGATTCTTGGATTTGGGAGTTCATTCTTGATTGTGCCTTTAATCTGCACCATCGTTCAAGCTTATCAAGACACATTTGAACCAGGAATGCCCTACACTGATCAATCTTTTGAGTTGTTTACCATTCTCAATGGAATCCTTTTTATGGTGTTGGGATCTATCATAGGCTTTCCAATTGCTTCGGCCTCAGGTAATGAGTTTTCTTTCTTGAACCTTCATTTCTCAAGTTTAATCATTATAAATGTTTGACATAAACCCTCATACTGATATATAAATTACTTAGATGTGCTTTTAGAAGTATTAATTCAACAATATTTAACTTTAATTTTTTTAATCATGTTTGTTACCCTTCCATTGACATCATTTTTCTTTGGTTTTCTTGGTGTTCATTAGTTAGGAGTTCTAGTGCAAGTAATATAGTTGGTGAGCATTATAAGCATCTTTTAGTTCCTTAATAGGAAAGGGCTACTTATAAAGAGAAAATGATTTTCTTTATCCATCTCAATTTACCTGCTTCTATCTACGCTTTTTTGCTCAGGTTGATTGACATCAAAGGAAAAAAGAAACGACATCTTTTCCTTTTGGATCTTTCAGTCTCTAAATGGTCTGCCTTTCTTTAGATGAAATACACTTGTGGTCTTGCAAATGAGTGTTTTCATCAAAAGGTGGAGAATAACTGTATGAGAGTACCTCCATCTATGTGTGCACAAAAGGATCTTAAGCATCTAAAAGAAATTTAGAATTGAAAATGGGAAAGCTCAATCACATCTTGTCAAGAATTGGAGAGGAAAATTTAGTTTAAGATTGATCCTTAATAGTTTTGTAACTTCGTTCCCCTTCTAATTTTGCATCAGGTTGGTACTGTTGCATAATTAGGTACTAGAGTGAGGTTTGCAATAATTTCTTCAAGAAGGTTACTGTTAGGAAATGGTGTTTGTTGAATTATATATTTTCTATTACTTTCCTCCATGTTGTACTGATTTGGTGATGATCACCAGTGTAAATGTGATTGTTTAACCATGTCTAGAAGCAACGCTGTCCATAGTTTTTGAGAATTTATTTCTTCAATGCATCCCAAGTACAGTTATAACTTTAAGATAACTAATCACAGTTGGAGCACTTCAAGGACTTTGGAAAAATGACTTGGTAGCTCTGAAAGGGGCATGCCCAAACTGTGGTGAGGAGGTAACTACGAACTAGCTTCTCACATCTCCACAAATATTTCTAGAAGTTATTTGATATGATTCCATTGATGAAGGGTTAAATCGTATTTCCTTGTACTGAAATGGATGAATTTTATAGATCTTAACAATATTACCTTCAGGTGTTTGCTTTCCTGAAAGCAGAGAAATCCTATCATTCCCCGCATAGAGCTGATTGTCATGTTTGTGGAAGCAGATTAGAATTTCAAA